TTTTTTGGAAAAAAATATCTCCCCGGGGGGGGGGCCCCCCCCCCGGGGAAATTTTTGGTTTTTTTTCAAAGGGGGGCCCCCCCCCCGGGCCCCCCCCCCCGGGTGGGGGGGCCCCCTTTTTTTTGGGGGGAAGACCCCCCCCCCCCTTTTTTTTGTTTTTTTTTTGAAACCTTTTTTTTGGTTTTCCCCCCCCCCCCGGTCAAAACCCTGGTTTTTTTTTTTTTTTGAAAAACTTTTCCCCCCTTTTCCCCCCCCCCCCCTTTTTCCCGTTTTTTTCCCCCCCCCCCCCCCCCCCCCCCTTTTTTTACCCTTCTTTTTTGGGCCCCCCCCCCCCCCCCCCCCTGCAGCCGGGAGCCATAGTCAACAAGGCGATGTGTGCGTCGTGCGACTTCAACCAAGACAGCAACAACTGCAAGCGGTCGCTCACTTGGAAGTGGAGGTGCGTCCGCCTTCCGTGTGAAGAAGGCCTCACCCCTTCCCGACGAACAGGGTCGTAGTTTGACTCAAAGGTTTTCAATTCTAAAAGTGTGTGTGTGCGTCCCGTATGCGTATGTCTTTTTTCGTTATCATGGACAGCGCGACCCGGCTGGCCAATGAAAAGAAGCCAGTCTCAGTGCGGCTAAATCAAACGTAAAACATTGCTAAATGCGATTATGGGGGAACCTTCATGGGGCGTCATGTGTCATGTGGGAGTGTGTGTGTGCGCAAAGAGGCGTTTCTCGAGAACCTCGCCCCGCACGTTCAGAACGCGGTAGCACTCTCCCAAACCGTTACGTCCCGCGGCGGAACCCCGCCCCCCACTCTGTGTTCCGATGTATTTCTACCCGTGGGTTTCCATCGCCGTTGTCTTGCGGTTAACCGCACACATTAGGGCGCAGCGAACCCCAAAAAATGAGTGCTGTCGTCCTGACCTCCATACAGTAGCGTGTCGCCAGTCTGTTGCGAGTCGGAATTTTCTCGTCCCCTTTGCGGCAAGAGCGTGCCGATCATCCCTCCGTTCTGTCTCCCTCTGTTGTTGTGCCATGTATGTACTATTATTGCTGCCTATACGATGATATCAGGGTGCTTCCAGGTACCCCATCTGTTCTGTCTTTCTGTGTGTGTTCTTGTTGTGCTGTGTAGATACTGTTATTGCTATTGCGACATGAGCGGTACTTCCGATCATCCCTCTGTTCTCTCTCTTTCTGAGCACGTCTTTATTTCGTCCTGCTACCTTGTTGCTGCTGTTGTTGCTATGATACCAGGGGTGATATGACCCCCGCTTCGAGGACCGAGTACCAGAGCGTGAAGATGCAGCTAACCTACGAGAACGTGGATGGGAAGCCCTTCGTCGAACTAGAGTGAGTGCCAGACTGATGACTCTCTCTGGCTAGCGGACTCGCTGCAATATTTTCGTGCCGAAATTTCTCGATGCTGTCTACCGATGACAAAGTTTTTTTTTATTGTATTGTGGTCGGCGGACCAGATGGAAAAACAAAACAAAACAGAAGATCACCCTTTGCTCAACTCCCGTACTGCTGTGCTTCCCTGGTCGTGTTACCTCTTCTCTGCTTCGTGGCTTTGGCTTTGAAATGTACATCGGTCAGTTTCCTTGACAGTTCTGCAAGTTATAGTTTTGCTTTTGCGTGAACGCCCTCAAAGAGAGGAAACAACGCCTCCACCATAGACACTCTTTCCGGGCCTTGCTATATATATTCTGTGTTAACTGCTATACCTTTTTTTTGGCAGATTTTCGTCCCGAAGAGTACAGGGCATGAGGAGGGTACTCTGTGTACAGATCGGAACCATAAGACTGTTGATGTGAAGACAGCAGTTTGACGGCGCCTGTATAATTTCTTTGCCAACACCGCACTTTGTTGATTTTTTTGCTCAGCGAGGCGGACCAGGCGACGAACGTTCGAGCACGGCTGAAGAACTACGCCCACAAGGTCTACAAGAAAACCAAGGTAAGCCGACGCCACCGTTATTGCTGTTGCTGCAAGTTAACTCAGCACCTTTTTGTTGCAACGGGCGTATGTTTTGGACAACCATGCCCTTCTCGAAGCGGTTATCTTCGCCGCACACCAGCCATATCGCTATCAAACCTATTTCTTCCTGAAATACCCGTTGTATCCATATCCCCACCCGTAGCCATCTCGCCCCCACTGCTCGTTCTTTTTCGGCCATTTTTGTTGGCACTGTATCTTCCTGTACCTGGCGCATCGTTTGGCGCCATCACCTGTATCCCCAGTGGCCTGCCGGCTCGCCCAGTCCTCTTACTTCACCGACTCCGAACTTCATTCGCCGTATGAATATCCCAGGCGTATCTTGCGTTTACCCGCCGCATCTTTCGTTGACCGGCCGTGTTTTCCGTTCCCCCCACCCACCGTAGTCCAACGCTTGTCCACGGCGGTATCCTAGAGCAAATACATTGCATCGCAGAAGGACCACCCACCCGGGACGTTTCTCCTCCGTGCCCTTCCGTCTCTCCCGCTGAACAATTTTATTTTCCACGGCTGCTGCTGTAGCACACCAACCCTGCGGGCTCAACACCAACCCGCCCTTTTCCTTCCTTTTTCGCCAACATCTCTTCAATTTTCTCGACGTACATTTTGTTGCCCCGCCGAATCTGTTTCATTCCCCAGATTGAGGTTGAAATACCCACCGTGCGGACGTACCCGCAGTATCTATCGTCTAATCCTCGATATCTTCCGTTTACCCACACCGTAACTCCGTTTGCCCGTCGTGGCTG